ATTTTAATTGTAAAATTTTTTTCCGGCTTTTGTAGTAAATTACAACATGTAATGTGTTTTATTCATAAATACATTTTTAAAACATATCTTATCGTTGTTATAAGGGGACAGTGACACCGTAGTTGATCACCTTCATCAGGTGAGGTCATCTATATATTATCGATTTGAACTGAAAAAAAATGTAGTATTTTATATATTATATACCGAGTGATCCGTCAAGTATGATCACCCTTATTTGATTTTTTAAAAATGCATTTCTCACGAGTAAAATTTTGATTTTAGAATTATAAAATACACAAAAAGACTATATATTTTCAAATACCTTCTTAGAAGTTATATGGGTGTCTACTACGACAATATATATATAGGTACTTCGCTACTACTAAGATCATGACCAGTTAATATGTGAAAAAACCGGTTTTAGACGGAGAATTTAGTCGTGATCTTCACRTACCRGGAGTAGACACTCGTATTATTTTAAATGAAAATGAGATTCGCTAAATTCTTACCAGATACCCGATTATATATTTGAAAATATCGATGATATAATGGTATGCAAATATTTACGTTTATTATGTTAAGTGTTAACGAGCAGTGTTTGGGTTATTAAGCTTTATGCATAAAGGATAAATTATCCTGGATAATAGTCCTTAGTAATATCATATCATATAAGATATAAACACTAAATAGATGTAAGTAAGTATTTAATAGTCTAGTACTTATTAGTTATTACTTGTTAAACTCGGACAACATTCAAAAATTATTAAATACTTATAAATTGATAATAATTAATAACTATTAATTACTATCGATTATTAAAAAGTTCTAATTATCATAGCTCTCGTATTAAAGCGGGGGAACAGGTTATGTATGATAGATCGCTCTTCCCTCCCCCTGGGTTTTCTTAAGTATATGCACTTGTAAATTACAAAAATCATAATTTTGAATTATTAAAAAAGGTGGGGGGGGGGGAAGATATGAGTGAGAACTCTTGGTGAATCACTCTGTATATATCATCACAACAGATGAACAGAAACATATACGAGGTACATATGCATATTATATATATTCACATTTGCTCTGARCCACAGTTGCGTTGGTAGATCATTTGGACTAGTCGACCCGGCAACTTCTCCGTGTTTAGTTAGTGCGCGTTCGAGGTAATTCCGAATCACGTGCTTTTGTTTTTTATTATAATTTTCGGCTTCTTATTTGTTCAACACAAATTGTATTATTATTTTTTCAGTTATAAATTGCAAGAAATTTACATCTGACAGGCGTACTATATATAGTACCTAACCTGAAAGTGGATTAACGTGTAMATTTTCGAGTGTATACATAATAAACTGATAAGCAGACATTGAAGCAATTAATACGACCGATGGAATCATAAAACATTAAGTGGGTACACGTACTAATCAATAAAAGAAATATTTTAGAAAATAATTAGCTACAGTAATTGCTGGTTGTGCTGTTCTAAAGTTGTTGTTCTATGCGATTAGCGATAATATTTAAAACGGCTGATAGTTACTATATAGGTATAGCTATATAATATATATGTACCTATATAGGTACGTATACATTTTTGTTGATTGTTATTTCAAAAGACTGTATGTTTGATAAGCCTTATTTGTACAAGTTTAAACCGTATGAATTATTATATAATTATATATTATAACATAGTTGAAATATACATGGTTATTGCATATTATATTATACTCTCTCTCAACCAAATATTTGATGATAAAAATAAAAATGGCAGCGTAAAGGGAGTCAATAATAATCAAGTATTTATGCGCGGGAAATTTTATGTCAGCTGCTGAAAGCTAGCGAATTTTTCACGATAAGAAAAATTGATATATTTTGTAATATCCCTTTAAGCATCAATTTTGTATCTGATGATAATAATCATAGTCGATATGCAATAACCTGTATATTTTAACCATGTATTATAATTTATAGTATACCTATATTTTATGTTAAAATCTTGGAATCTGTTTTACTAAATTTATCAAAATTATCTCTTACACCACTTTTCGACTAGAATTCCATTATAGGCTTATAATATGCAACCATTTACATACTTAATTATTATGTTTCTGTCTGTTTATATGATCTTAATAATTCACGCACATAATGCTAATCAATTATTACATMTACTATTAAAAGTAGTAGATAATTAAATTAAGTCATATAAAAGTTCATAATTTGAAAAAAATAACGTCTTCAAAATAAATACATCGTGATTTATCATCCGAAACTTTGTCAAAGTATTTACATATATAATCAGTATTTTATTCATGGCGAACAAATATTTCTGAATAAGCATATAATATATTTATTAATTGCTATTGGCGTAAAATATTGTCTACTTATTTTGTTGTAATTACACGTATTAGTAGGTAGATACTAATTAGGTATAAATATGTTTACGAACCTATACAATATATAGAGAGTACATGCAGAGGCGCAAATCTAGGGGTGCAGGGGGAACTGCCCCCCTTAATTTGGTAAGTAGGTGGTCAATTGATTGATACTCGATGGTCAATTTTCAGACATTACAATAAGTATACATCAATATACTTATATCATATTA